CCTGCCCCGGGCGCCCCGGCTCGCCGCCGCACCTCGTCCTCCCTCAGCCCGCCTGCCTCCAGCTGCCTCGGGCGAGCCTCCTCCGCCGGCCTGGGCTCTTGTCCACGCGCGCCCGTGCCCACTCTCGCGCCCCGCGGCCCTCAGCTCTGAGGTCTGGTCTCCCCACGAGTCGCAGCTCCATCTGGGGCTGTCTCCACACCGTCCCTCAGCGTCTGCGGTCCCGAGTCCAGCGCGTCAGGAGCCGGCCGGACGCCCGCCAGGGCCGCCTCCCTCCCGGCCCGCTCCCCACAAACGCCGCACGCCGAGCGCTGGCCAGTCCGCCGCTGCCTCACACGCGTCCACGGCCGCCGCGGCGTCCCCCTCCAGTGCTCGAGTGGGCCCAGGCGGCCCGCGTCTCACCTGGATCAGCAGCACAGCCTCCTGAGAACCTCCCCTCGCCTCCCCTGGCCGACCAGCGGAGGAGGGCCTGCTCAGGCTGGCCAGAGTGTCTCGTCAGTGCTCACTTACCCGAGAAGAGACCAGCTCCGCAGGTGCCAGGGAAAGCTGCACACGGCTCTCCCGGACGCCCTCACACTTCACTTTCCCCTTGCGGAGTATCGGCTCTACATGAGCGGAAGAGTTTGTCTGTTGGCACTCAGTCCCCGTGTGCTGGATGAGGGAGCGGGTGTGGAATAGAGACCCGGGTGAGGCGAGGCCGGAGGCCGGCGCAGCCGCGGGAGCTGGAGCCGGCCGGGCGAAGGGTCAGGAGGCCCTGCGTGGGGATGGAACAGCCTGGCAGCGTGTATTTTGGAGCCATTTTTGCCATGGATTTGTCAGCCGTGATGCCCAAGCCCATGCTGCGGGAAACGGGGAGGGCTGCAGCCTACAGGGCTGCCTGGTTTCCGGCCTGCAGAAGAAAGGAAGGGCGGAGAGGCGCGGGGTGGACAGGTGAAGGGCATCTACAGGCTTTCAATTTGCAAATGTTACGTCTAAGCAGGAAATGTCCAGTACGCACTCAGAATGACGCCTCTTTTGGGGAGCTACTTCATGAAAACACGTAGTTCGTGGCATTGCTGCACCCGGCCTGCTGAAAGTGTGGGTTCTGCCAGCTTCAGGACCATCATTAGGACGTGCCTGCCATGTCTGTGGAGAGGCCCAGCTGTCTGAAGTCCAGTCTGAGGCACCGGGGATGGCGAAGATGTCACCTTCGTTAGTCTGGCGTCCCGGCTGTGACAGAGGAGGCCTCAGCCCACCCGGCCCTCACCCTGACATCTTCTGCAATAAACAAGATGAGACAGCAGCTTAACGCTAGCCTGAGCACACGGCTTGAACGTCAGCGTCCATGCTAGGGGCTACGCTGGCCTTTCTGATACCCAGAATACACAGACAAAGGCAGGTTCTGATGAGAGGGGGCCGTGGGCCTTTAACATGTGAAACCTCAAGACCCCGTGGTTGCGAACGCCAGGGGAGCTCACGGAGGCCTGCAGCTTGCTGAAGAAACCACGTAACTGCCACGCACTATGGTTAAAGCAACGCAGTCTGAAAAGGAGGCCGGAGTGTCAGAGTCCAGAAAAAATGACGGGGGACAGAAAACGAGCAGACACTGCTGTCTTTGGATCGTTGTTCTGTAAACCAGAAAAACAAAGACCAAACAAAAAAACCCTGCCCTGCACTTAACTCTCTCGCATTCTTTCTGTGAGAATGAGTTTCATGAAAGCTGCTTGCCTAGGGCCCGGGAGAGGTGGATTCACCAGCTCTCTGTCGGGTGGCTGGACAGGGAGCACTCCTGACTGCTGACAGTAATATGGTGGTACATTGGTTTTTTCCTTCGCAGACTTGGTGTGGCCCTGTTTGTTCGTTTTTGGTTGTTTTTTGTTTTTAGTTTTTATCCCGTACTGGGAATCGAACTCATGACCTAGTGCTTGCCAGGCAGGCGCTGTGTCACTGAGCTAAATCCCCAGTCCCTGTTTGTTCGTTTTGAACAAACAACTTGGGTCTCGCTAAATTGCCCGAACGGGCCCTGAACTTGCAATCTTGTTGCCTCAGCTTCCCAAATTACTCGGATTGCAAATGTGTGCTACTGTCTGTGCCTGGCTTAGCATGGCCTTTTGACACTTTCCCTCCTAATTCCATTGGCCAGTGCCTCATTCGCGTATCACTCAGGATTATTGGGGAAGATTTCTTCTGAGTGACGGTGTTGAGGGGAGACACCCACCACTTCTCATTCCTTTTGCCGTGCTACACTCTCCTCAGAGCTGCCATCTCAAGCTGACTTAGATCCGTTTTAGTTGGAAAGTCTCTTAAAAGCCATGTAGGCTAGGCGTGGCAGTGCACACCTGTAATTCACTTGGGAGGGTGAGACAGGAGGATTGCCGTGAGTTTGAAGCCAGCCTAAACTACACAGTGAGACCCTGTTAAAAAAAAAAAGCCATGTAGCCCACCCACTGGCCTCAATTCTGTGTGTGAGGAAATACAACTCTGGGGAAGCCAAGGGCTTTTTTTTTTTTTGTACAGGGGACTGAACCCGGGGGTTTCATGCTGAGCCCTATCCCAGCTCACCCCACTTTTCTTTTGTCTTGTTGAGGCAGGGTTTCACTATACAGTACAGGCTGGCCTCGAAGTTGTAGTGATCCTCCTGCCTCAGCCTCCCAAGTGCTGGGATTATAGGTATGCGCCACCACACCAGGCCGAGCCAAGGGCTTTTGTCCATACCACGCTGCAGGCTTGAGCTGACTGGCACTGTATCCACACTTCCCATCACATAGGTGACCCATGCGCTGCCCTCCATGGCAGCCGCTGAAGGTAAGCGGTCTGGCTTTTTTAGGTGATCAACATTTTAATAACTGCTTTGTAATCTGATGGAGAGCATATTAATTTCATTTTATTAGTTTTACTTTATTTCATAGGAAAATCATATTTCAAAATCCTTTTATATGAATTGCTGTCATATTCCTTTAGAACTTTGAAGCAATGTTTTATGCTAATGAAAAGATAGAGTAGCAGCCAAGAATGACTCTTTTGGAGTGTAGTTGTATTTGTGAAACAGAATTTGGGGCTCTGTTCTTAAAATTCCCATGCTGGGTATGGTGACTCTTGTGGCCAGTCCCAGCACTCAGGAGGCTGAGGCAGAAGAATTCTGACAAATTCAAGGCCAGCCTGGGCTACACACTGAGTTCAAAAGCAGCCTGGAAAGGATAGTGAGATCCTGTCTCAAAAACACTAAAAAAAAAAAAAAAAAATCCCTGTGCTGCAAAAGCCGGAAAAGGGGGGAAAAGGCGGAAAAGTCTTCTCTTCTGCCATTGTGCATGAGAAGCAAAGACGTGTGCAAGTTTGTAGAGGGGAAAAAAAAAGTCTGTTTACCTACCTGTCCATAATGGTGCTCACCTGTAACCTTAGCACTCTGGAGGGCTGAGGGAGGATGATCACAAGTTTGAGCACAGCCTGGGCAATTCAGCTAGCAACTTAGCAAGACTCTGTCTCAAAACAAAGGGTGGGGGCAGCGGGTGGAGCTGTGTGAGGGCCTGGGCTCAACCCTTTCCTAAGATCACTCCCTCCTGTGCCTGCCCCATCTCCCCAGTTTGCAGCCCTTTTTAATGGCTGGTGTCAAGCCCTGAAAATAAGCCCCTCCCCCTCTTCCCTGAGAGCAGGTGGGCTCCATCACGGCTGTCCCTCCTACTGCCCAGAAGGCCTTATTTCAAGCACAGCTGTGAAATAAGCAGTTAACTGATCAGTGTCTTATCTGATTTTCCAAAGAGGCAGGGCAGCCTAATGGTCAAACAGCAATGGTTCCCAAACTTGTACTTTTCTTTTTCAAATGCAGGTTCCTACCCAGCGGCTGAGGGTCCAGTTTGGCAGGTCTGGCTGGGTGGAATGAATCTGCTATTTCAAACGGTGCCCAGGTGTCCTGCTGCCCTCGGTCTCCTGGCCTGACAAAGCTGGACTCCAGCCCCCCACTTACCCCCCTGGAGTGTGGCCTCAGGAAGGACGCTCCCTAACCCCTCGGAGGCCTTGGCAGTGCGTGTAAAGTTCCTGACACGATGCCAGGAGCCTACTTTTTGTTATTGAAGGTTCTCCCCAGGCAGATCTTTCACTCTGTTTGTTTTTTTGTTTGTTTGTTTGTTTTGTTTTTCTCCGGCACTGGGAACCAAACTGACGACCTTGCGCTTGCCAGGCAGGCGCTTTGCCACTGAGCTAAATCCCCAGCCCCAGATCTTTCACTCTGGAGGTTCACTCTTGGAGCCTCCTTACAAGCAGGGTCCTGACCACCACCAGCACCACCACGCCGCTGGTTAGGGTGCACTCTCTGCCCCAGGCCAGATGTACCAACCCGAAGGCTGCATTTTACCAAGGTCCCGGGGTTCCTCTGCACACTCGCGTGTGGTGAAGTACCGCTTCGGGTCACCCATGCTCTTCCCTTCCTGCTTCTGGTTCCAGGCACCTGCCCAGAGTTCCTCCGCGTCCTTCTCCAGGAGCACTGACTGCCCTTGAGTGGGTGGCGGCCCCTCCGGTCATTCCGGGTGCAACCCCCCTGAGGCGGCGAAACCCTTGGCTTCTTCACAGAGCCCTGAGCAAGTACCCGGGGAGCTGGGCCATGGAGCCAAACCCCATCTTGCTTTCCGCTCAGCCCCAGGCCTGCTCCCACCCGGCGGAACGTGGTCTGGAAGGTAACAGCAGCCCGTCCTCCCCAGAGCAGGGTAGGGGCCTCCCCTCTCCCTGGGGCCAGATGCCCAGCTCCGGCCGTGCTGACCGCGGCTGGTTTGGGGATGAGCACGTCCAGGCGAAGAGAGCCAGAGTGGAGACCATCGTCCGAGGCATCTGCCTCCCCCCCAGCCCCCGGGGGCCAGGCGATGCCCGAGCCAAGGGCAGCGTGTTGGACCTAGAGAAGGTCCCAGAGCGGAAGAGGAAGCAGATTCTGCCTGTGCAGCAAGTCCCCCTGCAGCCAAGCCCTGCCAGGAACCAGGCCAGCAGGAAGGGGGCTCCCAGGATGAGAGACCAACTTCACCAGCTGAAGCAACAGCTAAGGTGTCTGCAAGACCACATCCTGCAGGCTGCTGTGCCTGGGGCCGCAGCTCGGGGGCCGGGATGCTTGGAGCCAGGGAAAGGCCCTCTGAGTGGAAAGCAGAGGAATGGCTGCGGACCTGGTCCCTGGGCTGCCGACAGTGACCACCACCAGGGTTCTTGCACGGACATCAGTGCGGCAGAAAAACACAGAGTGTCTGAGGTCCAACATCTGTCCAAGGAGCTCAGATCCCTTCCTTCAGGAGCACAGGCTTTGCTGGAGATTCTGAAGAAAGAACTGACCAGGGCGGTGTCCCAGGCTGTGGACTCAGTATTACAAAAGGTGCTGGTGGATCCACCCGGCCACCTGCCCCAGCAAGGCAGGAGCTTCCAGGGACTAGTGCCAGAGGGTAGAGGCGAGCCCTCTCCTTCCGGAGGAGGTGCCTGTAGAGACCCACATGTTCTGGCCTTGCCTAGGAGGGTCCAGCCACGAGCTGGGGTCTCTTTGGGGAATTTTTCACTGGCCAAGCCTCTAGAGTCTCCTGGTACAAGAAGCATCCCCAGATCCTTCCAGGGTCCCACAGCAAGCTGCCCTTCGACAGCGCATTCCCACATTCAGGAAAATCCGATTGCTAGCCAGCTACTGGGTCACGGACTCAACGGCCATTGGAGCAGTGGTCCTCCCCAGGACCCGCCTCCCCAACTGTACCCCTCCTTAGGGCCTGCCCTGCGCCCTTGGGTTCTGAGCCAGCCTTTCACCACGGCCGGTCCGGAGAGCCGGCCCCTCCTTCCCTCGGTGAAGACGGAGCAGGGCGGCCTGCAGGCCGGACCCGACGCACTTCCTTTCCCTTCTGTCCACATATCCTTTGCCAGTCACTGACAGCCTCAGGGCCCCTGCCAGGGAAACGAGCGGACGGGAAGTCGAGACGAAGGTGGGGACAAATAACTGGTGCACAGGGAGCAGATCTGTTCCGTGCTTTTCTCTTCTCCATTCTCAATCTCCCTCTCCCTGCCTTCCTTCCTTTCTTCCCTCTTTCTCTCTCCCCCCACTTCTCCTCCTGTCTGTCTGTCTCTGTCTCTCTAGGAGTATTTAACTCAGGGTCCTCACACTGAGCTACACCTCCGCCCTTTTAGGTTTTAAGACAGGGTCTTGCTAAGTCACCCAGGCTGGGCTCAAACTTCTGATCTTCCTGCCTCAGCCTCTCAGTGCCCGGATGATAGGGGCCAGCCACCACAGCAGCTTCCCGCGGCCTTAACCCTGCCCTGGACCTTCTTTCTCATGGCTCACAGCCTACTTACTGACCAGGCAGAAACCACATTCTAGAATTTAGGGGTCCTGGGAGGGTTCACTTTCTTCTGTGACCCGCCAGATTCTGCCATGACTGACTTGTTCCTTTGGGTCTGAAGGGCTTTGCTTTGTTTGCTGTTAAACTCCAATGGGCCTCTAGAATATGATGACCCTGTGGAAGGGAGAGCCCTGTAACGTGGTGGCCGGCTTCCCGTACTCGGAGGCACAGTGTCAAGGCCCACGGGGGACTTGGGGGCAAAGCAGTACTTTCCCTAAGGCTTAGAAACAGAAAGGCAGCCAGAGGACTTCAGCGTGAGCGCAGCTTCCAGGCCGGGCTGGACGCGGGGAGAGGACCCGCCACGCAGCCGGCGGCCTGCGGGGTTCCCAGGAGTAATGTGCGGGTGGTAAGAGCTGCTCAGATGGAGAAGAAAATGCAGTGGTGGATTCTGCTTTCTCTCGTGCGGGCCCCTGGAGCCTGTGACCTGCAGACGTCTGTCGGAGGCTCTGGAAGGTCTAGGCAGCCCCGAAGCGCCCTCTCCCAGCAAGCGCTTGCAGGACTAAAGTTCCCGAGAATATGTTTTGGATGTTGCTTTTTTTTTCAGTGTAGTTCAGGCTGGCCTTGAAGTCACTACGTAGCTGCCCAGGCCGGCCACTAATTTGTGGCTGTCCGCCCGCCTCAGCCTCCAGAGTGCTGGGATTACAGGCATGCGCCACCACGTCCAGCCGAGGTTGTTTTAGAAAGTTGTGCCCATGCTGCTGCTTCTCACGCGCAGCCTTGAGCCCAGGCTCCAAAGGTTAAGGCGTCTGTGGAATTTAATATGAAGGTGCGAACAGTTCCCTCCGCTTCTAGGCAACAGCGGGATGGGATGGGCGGGGCGGGCTCACCGGGCCAGAGCCGCCCGGCGGCCTAAGTGCTGTGAGCGCGCCCTGCTGGCGTGAGGGTCGTCACACCGCTCAGGCGCTGCTGAGCAGCAGCACGCAAGCATGGCACCAGCAAGCTTCGTCGCCACCACGTCCTCTCAGGCAGCGGAACAGCCGTGGCGGTGGAGATTCTGGCCCACACTGATTTTCCTGTGTAAAAAAGGCCACATGTCTGGGCCTGTCTAAGAGGTCACTGGCTGACTCCCTAAACTGGCAGACTCCCTAGTAAGCGTATTTAGGCAGCAGGGGAAGAACCCTGGGAAGACTGGGTGCTCGGCGTCGCTGCTACCTGTCAGACACCTGCCTGTCCCTGCCCTGTAACGCGGGTGCAGAGAGCTGCCGGAGGTTGCAGGTGACTGTTAAGAAAGCCCTACACTAGGTGCCAGGGACAGGGCGCATCAGCACAGCGCCTGCCTGGCAAGCACAAGGTCCTGGGTTCCATTCCCAAAAAATGGGGTGAGGCCTGCTCACACCGGTGAAGGGCGCGGCTACCTTGGGCATGCGTTGGAGGGACCAGGCAGCACCCCGCCCCTCACGTTTTCCCTCCTTCCTGCTGTCCATGTTCCACACCTGAGAGTGATTCTCGTGGATGTGCGAGCCACTTAGGAGCAAGGTGCTCTGCTGTGAAAAGGGGTGTCTGCAGCACAGCCCTTCCTGGGCACGAGGGCAGGCTTGAGGGCACGGGGTGCGCCTTCTCTGCCGCAGGCCGCGTCTGCGCCTGCTTCTCCTGAGCCGCAATTTGGAAGACCACAACGCTCTGAAAAGCCCTACAACCGTTTTTTCCCTTAAGAGTGATACAAAGTTTTTTGGTGGCAAAAGCTGATGTACACAGAGGCTGTGTACAGACTATCTATCCCACTTGGCAGAAAGTCACACATCTTGCCGTAGGAATGCTGGTGTACTGGGTCAGACTGCCTCTGCTGTGGGTCCGGTGAACATGCATCGTGACTTACAAAATAACAGATTCTGCAGCCTGCACCCCGTCTGGCCCAATGTTGTAGATAAAGGGCTGTGGGCCTGGATTATCTCACAGCCCACCAGCGTCCACTCCAGGGTCAGCATCGGAGGGGCAGAGACAAGAAACAGACCAACTTGTCCAAAGCCACAGACAGGCAAGTGAGGAGCCAGGGTTCAGACTTGGGGTCTGACAGCCAAGCACAAACGTTGACCACTACACTCTACATTTTAGACAGGTGAAGTGCAAGGCCCTGAGTTTCATCCCTGCTACCAAAAAGAAAGAAAGATAGAAAGAAAGAAACGAGAAAGATGGCCTGGAGATGTTAGGGTGGCCATGTCAGTTTCCACAGGTTCCCAAATCCTACTTCTGTCCCACCGCGTCAGTGAGCCTGTAGGAAGGGTAAGTAGGGCCAACAGGGCAAGGGCCAGGGCTCTTCCACACAGCTGCCCTAGGCCAGCTATAGCCCTATGGGTTTGTTTTTTGCTTAAGATGATTTATCGTACTAGTAAGTCTTCATTGTGCTAAATCTGCAACTCACAGACCTCATACTAACGGCTACTCCGCAGGGTTCTTTCCCCTCGGCCCCACTGTCCCTGGGACGCTGACCAATGGACGAGGGTCTTGGCTTTCCTCCTCTGGGGTGCCAGGGAGTTGCACCACAAGCATTTCCTGCTCTTGTGAAATAGGATCTGTCCCTCGGTGAGGTACGCTTGGGAGTCTGATTTCCATCTATCTGTACGGGCTAAGGTTGACTCACTCCTTCATCCAACACACATTTATTGAGCACCTACTATGTGCCCAGTCCAGTGCTAGGCATGTAGAACACAAAGATAAAAAGATACGGCCCTTGCCCTCAAGGAGCTCACAGTCTAAATGGGGAGATAAACATGCGGTTAAAAATTCCACAAGGTCGTTGCTATGGTTTGTACAAAGAGCCTTGGGCGCCCAGGGTGGGGAGGGCCTAATCAGGCCAGCAAAGGTTCCACAGGGCACTGATCCTCCGAGCTGGGGCGTGAGTGAGGCAGATGCGGCCAACAGTTCAAGTTTCTTCACTGAGCAAGAACACAGCAGGGACTGGGACCCGGCCTGGCTTCTCGCGGCCTGGATTACACTGCAGAGGCAGTTCGAATGACAGCCAGACTGAAGACCTTATAGGCAACTCCTCCCATTTTCCAGGTGAAGACACTGAGGCAGAGAGGAAACAAATCTTTACTTGGGGTTTCAAAATAGTTTACCTGGGATAGAGCTACCCATCTCACTCTCCAAGAGTGAATACACACAGTACATTTTTTGATATCTACACATGCCATATACTTTTACACAGCAAGGCATTTTTCAAATTCTGTAACTTAACTGTGTATATGGCATCTAGTTTATCTGACAAGTTTTCAGATAGAGAAAAATGAAAATACTCCATTCAACCAGAAAAAAAGAAAACAGAAGCCACAGGGGATGGGACAGTCACTCCTGGGGTGATCTGATAAAAGTCAGTAACCGGTGTTTTTAAATGTTAATTTTCCTTGACACTGAAATAAATCCAGGAAGGTCTAAATCCTGGTCACTTGAAGAAGGCCAAACTCATGTTTTTCTTTGCGCGGTACCCCAGCTCCAACCTCCTGAAGGCGTATTTCCCCGATGTTCAGGTAAAGTCAACGGAAGCGCAGCGTCTGCACAGTTCCCAAGCGGCGTGCGTTCTGCCTGCGTGAGGCAAGCCCAAGGTCCTCGCCTCAAGTCCTCTGTGCTGTTGATGGACTCGTGCACGCTCTGCTTCTGGGGAGAGTGTGGAACACTCACGGCTAGCTTGGGCTGGGAAGTTTGGCTCTCTGAAGTTTTAGGCTTTGAGCTCCGGATAACCCTAGAAACACGGGAAGGAAAGGTGGAGGGAAAGACCAATACCAGTAGTAAGGGGACTCGGGCCTAGTTTTCTCTCTTTACGTACTCTGACCTGAAGGAGAAAGACTGTGCAAGGTCAGACACTGTCCCACTCACGTTCAGCTCGCTGTTTCCAAACTGAGTGAAAGTACGCAGACGTCCAGGGTGACAGTCAGGGGAACCAGACTGAGCGCTGGAGACAGCCCCTGCCCGCTGCCACAGGACGTGTCTGAGGACCTCGCTACCCAGGGTGTGGGTAGGAGCTGTTAACACCTTGGGTTCATCCCATTTCAGCTTTTCAGGTCTTTCCCTCATATTGTTGCTTGGTTGCTAAGGAAGCTGACTTAGGACTTCACTCTGCAACTCCAAGTTAGAGATAAACTGCTCTCTGACCTAGACCCCGAGCCCCGAGCAGGCAGAAGGCTCTTGAGCTGCCATCTAGCCCCACAGTGGCCTTGGCCCGGTAGATCCTCCCGGTCATACTTCGACAACACAAAAAGGTTCTCACGGGTGGAAATGCTTTATAAATTCAGCACATAAACTTCTTTACAAATGGGCATTTTTGAGTCCGGCAGAGCAGGAAAGCAAGGTAGCCTCTTTTTCTAAAGGAAGCCCGTTACACCGGTTGAATCCCACAGTGCCCCACTCTGGGTGCTAACGCTCTCGTTCTGAGCCTCTCGCCCCTCACAGCGGATGTCTGACTCGAGGGACCTCTTGTTTGCACAGTTCAGCCGCTGCATTACCTCCCAGATGATCAAGTGGTTCAGCAACTTCCGTGAGTTTTATTACATCCAAATGGAAAAGTCTGCCCGGCAAGCACTTTCAGACGGCGTCACAAGTCCCAGAAGGCTGGTGGTTCTCCGCGACTCCGAACTGTTCCGCACTCTCAATACGCACTACAACAAAGGAAGTGACTTCGAGGTAAGACAGCACCAGGGCTCCATGAGGTATTTTGCGGTGTCTTCTCGGAATGTTTGGTGTTTCAGACAGAGCCCCTCACTGAGAATCATGGTGGCCTGCGGCCCACTTCTGTATCAGTATCACCCACTGAGATTACAGCTGCAGCCTCTGCGCAGGCAACAGGAGGACGCAGCGAGTACAGCCAGGCTCCACGCGGCCGCGTATGCAGCAGCCCGCCAGGCCTACTGCCCGTCTAGACTAAAGCTGTGTAATCACCAAGTCAGATAACTCAGTTCTGGGAGGCTCGGGACTCAGTGCTGGGCTCAGGCGCAGCAGCTCTCTTGGCCTGAGTTTCAACAGTCCCTGCTCTCGTCTCATGTGGTTCTTCCCTCTGTTCCCACTTAAGTCTCATCTGTTGGCCTTTCATGGCAAGCCACCTTGAATTCTTCCTGGAAGTAACACACACACAGGCATGTGGTACATTCCAATACTCCTAGCTACTCAGAAGGCTGAGGCAGGAGGATAGCGAGTTCGAGGCCGGCCTAGGGTGTCTTCACCTTCGTGAGCCTCGGTGTCGCTGGTGTGAACTCTCACCAGGAGGCAGGATGGCCCCGGGTGGCTGCAGGTGTCGGGCCGGGCTGTGGGCGCTCTTCTTGCCCTTCTCAGTTGGCTGTGACCACAGGAGCCGTTTATTGGCATCTCCAAGAATGTTAAGAGCTGCTGGTGCCCACTGGTTGAATTTTCAGCCAGAATGTTGGGAAGCATAAGCCCACCCCCAGGCGAGCGTGGAGGCGGCACCGCCCAGCCTCTGCACGTGGGGTGTTCACTGGACAGGCCACGGCGCAAGCCTCAGCCAAGCTCGAGGGCGGGTGGGACACCCCATCTCCTACAGTATGTTTCGGCAAGGTTCCGGAACAGCTGTATGTAACAGGCTTTACGGAATGCAGGCCCTCCAGACCCAGCCCTGAAGAGGGGTCATGGGCTCGGGGACCCTCTTTTCTGCAAAAGGTGTAAGGAAAAGAACACTGGAACTTCTTTGCAGCACACACTCTCTGTCAGTTTCCTCCTCAGTAAAAGGAGCCACAGTGGAACCAGTCCCTCCCACGAAGGACACTGTCTCACTGCAACTGTCATTCTAAGGCTGGCGTTCGAGGAGGGGCAGGGGACTCCCTGGGCCGCGGGAATCCAGGGCCGGCGGGCAGAGGCACTCTTAGCCACCAGCCACGGCACGACAGCACCAGTCCGCGGGCGCGGGCTCTCTGTGGCGCTTCCAGCCTCACGTTTTCTCTTTCTTGGGGGTCTCTTTGGGAATGCAGGTTCCAGATTGCTTCTTGGAAGTCGCCAGCTTGACGTTACAGGAGTTCTTCAGGGCCGTCTCCACGGGGAAAGACTCAGATCCTTCCTGGAAGAAACCCATTTATAAAATTATTTCGAAGCTGGACAGTGACATTCCAGAGATACTCAAATCCTCCAGCTACCCTCAGGAGCTGTTTCAGGGCTAACATCGAACAAAAGGAGGAGTGACTTGCCCAGAGTTCCCCAAGTTTGTCTTAAGTAGCATTTCAGGCGTGGTCATATAGAAAGGGTACTAGGAGGCCCCGAATGGATAGTGTTTCCATTTTGATCACTTATTTCCCTTAGCAGAGTCATCAGCAAAGTTAAACATAAATACATTAGCTAAGCGTAACAGCGGTGTACGGTAAACGGAGCACAAGTTGGAATCAGAACACTCTGACGCTCAGCTCCACTGCTGCCAGGTGTGGTGACCCTGGACTTTCCAGGATCTCTGCACCCGTAAAACGACGTTGGAAAGCTTCGAAGAAAATGTCCTAAAGTGCTCTGTGACACATGACACACATTTCTCCTCTCCTGCCAGTTTTTACATTATCTTATAAGGGTATTTATGTATTATTATTTTTATTTTTATTTTGAGACAGAGTCTTGCTATGCAGTTCAGGCTGGCCTTGAACTCACTATGTAGCCCAGGCCTACCTTGAACTTGGGATCATCCTCCTGCCTCAGCCTCCTGAGTGCTGGGACTACAAGCATGCACCACCACACCTGGCTTTACATAGGTTTTTCATAAGTGGTTGTTTTTATTTTAGTTACCTATATATATGAAGCTTCACCTATTTGCTAGATGTTTTTCACATACAGTATCCTTTAAGATTTTTTTCATCCTGAAAAGCAGTTATTATCCTCATTTTTAAAATGATCACACAGAAGTTTGTGAACCATCACGTAACTCCCTAAAGGCTGTGAAGCTAGGATACTTGGGTTGGTAGGCACAACAGGAGTGTAAGCCACGCTGCATGTTGCCCAACACAAACTGCCTGCAGCACTTGAGTGTTGTGCTGGGTGTGGTGGCTCATGCCTGTAATCCCAGCACTCCGGAGGCTGAGGCAGGAGGATCACTGTGAGTTCGAGACCAGCCTGGGCTACAAAGTGAGCTCAAGGCCACCTGAACTGCATAGCGAGACCCTGTCTCAAGAAGACAAAAAAAAAAAAAAAAAAAAAGAACTTGAGTGTTATTTGTTCATATCTGTCTCCTGGAAAAGTCTCAGCTAGACAACCCAAACAGTCTACCTGACCAATGCAACGGATACTCCAACCTTCATGGACACAAGAAACAGAACTTCAAACTGTAAAGGCTGGAAAGGGTCTTAGGAGATTTTCTGCCCCACTGTACTTAAATTAGGGAGGAAACAGGTCTAATTTGGGAGCTAGCACAACCTGTGCACAGCCTCAGAGATGAATAGCACAGCTATGACAAACATTATCATATACAGAAATGGAAATTCTCTCTATATAGAGAAATTAGTTAAACTTCTACTCTTGAAAAGAACGCATGAAACCTGTATTTTCTTTTTCCTAGTGGCCTCACACAAATGTGACTCAGTCTATAGAAAAAGACATCTGCAAGGCTGAGGAACTGCTGGTCTTCTAAACTAGTCACAACCAAGTCTGTAAGCACTGCCGAAGGTGTGCAGGGTTGGGTGGTGTAATCCGTGGCGAAGGCTCTGGAGTCCTGATTACAGCCTGTCTGTGAATGCATGCCCCTCCTTCCTTATTTACATGAAAAAGTTCCATATTCAACCCCAGCTAGTACTCCATGACTGTATGGGTGGGGTGTGAGCTGAAGATGAAAACTTGAAACTCCTACTAACAGTGTCTGCATAAAAAGTTATTTAAGAGTTCTTCTTCTCCTTCTTCTGGTCCTGGGGATGGAACCCAGGGCTTTCTGCAGGCTGAGCACGTGCTCCGCTGCTGAGCCACACCACCTGGCTACGGGTTACTTTTGAGTGTCCTTCAATGCACCTAATTACACTAGGACAATCTTTGTCCTGTTTATCCCCTATTTTCGCAAGGTCCCCTTATTAAAATGAGGGACTCTGCCAAACTCAAGATTTAAACGTAGGCAAGAATCAAGCAGCCTTGGCAAGGGCAATCAGTTGAGTGGAGACAGAAGATCCCACTCTCCAGAGCGACATTACATAGCTATTGAAGACATTCATGGGGAACAACTCCAAGTTTGCACAATTGTCCAGTATAGAGTGGCCCCTTTCTCCGTCCCAAACCTGAAGTTTATTCGAGTGTTTTAAAGATGGAGCCAGGCCACCTCCCCGGGCAGTGAGCCTTGTCTTGAAGACCAATTAGATGAAATGTGCAAGCTCAAATTAAAAACATTTGGGAACTAGGCCTTTCCAGGAAGCGTTCTCTAACAGCTGAACTAAACACAGAAGAATGTATAAATACATATGCTCTGCCAACGGCAGAATTCTACTTTATTACAGTTCTCTGTTTCTATCAAGTACATCTCTCTCAGTGTTGGGAACACATTTTGAGTGTAAGCCGAGCTGCTTACTATGTTCTTTCAGCAATCGTAACATTGCCAAAGGCCCGGTCATTCTTTCCATGAAGGTATATGTGGGCACTGTCCTCTTCCAAATCAGACACGTTCGTAGTCTGCTCGACACTGCACTGTGGCCTGCTCTTCAATAGTGGATGACAGGCCTGGGTGGGGGAGTGTGATGACAGCACCCCCGACGAGCCAAGGCCCAATTACCAGCGCAAAGCAGGCAGTTAATTGGCATTTCATGCAAGAAATGTTTCTTTAGGCACTTTAATTTCCAGCATGGCAGAGTGTGTACAACTCCGTACAAGATTCAAACAGCAAGAGGTCAAAGGCATCTCCTGGACATACAAGGGGTATCTTGGACTACTTTTTATCCACCAAAGAAAGGGCAAATCATAAACAGCAGAGATAACACTGTAAATTTCTACAACCCAGTCTCATTATAGAGGGCCACTGCAAAAACACTCTTTCTGTTTTCAATGACAAAATACAGAATCCTTATTCAGGAAGCTGAGGCAGGCGGACAGCTATGAGTTTGAGGCCAGCCGGGGCTACAAAATGAGTTCAAGGCCAGCCTGAACTGCATAGCAAGACCCTGTCTCAACCGCCAACACAAAAAAAAAAAAAGAAAAAAAGATTAATTTTGCTGAAATTTTTGTAAGATTTCTGAAGTTTTATATATTCCAAATTATCATAATCATTGATTCATTTATATGCATACCACACAAATTTTAAAAATCCTTTGGTTTTTTTATAAAACTTAAGTATTTGCATACATTTCATATAATGCAAGACGGCTTTCTTAGTACTGAGAAAAACAGAAAAGGAACAACAATGGATGGGAGGTGACACTTCAGCTAAAGTAAGTTAGCTTCACAGGGCTGATTAAATGGTATACACTAGAATCTGCAGGGTGTTCTGAAGTGCCTTTGCTACCGCTGCTGCCATGGGGACTGAGCCCGGGGCACCACACCGAGCGCTCACTCTACCAGAGCTACCCCCCTCACCAATGTTCCACGTCTTCATGGCTTTCAGGCTCGATGTTTTGGGGGAAGGATAAGGTCGCAGCAATACGGTAGATGTAGTATCGGTCAGGTTTACACTAAGCACACAGGCACATCTATAAAGTGTGTGCCCTGTGATCTACCCGGGTGTGTTAATAATGCACGCTGCGCCCCACATACTTATTAAGTGCTCGCGGGTGGAAGACGGCTCACAAAGAGTATTTTCCAGAGTTCAGTGTTTACAGATGAAGAAAAAGCTTTTTCAGACAATATAAACCTAAATAGTACAACCATGTGCTCAGGAGTTGAACGCTCAGTCATAAAGTAAAAGCAAGGCCCAAGCAGATGCGCGCTTCCAGAGGAAGGCAGTGGTGTCTGATGAGAGCCGGAGGGCAGGCACAGACGCGCTGGGTGGTAGAGGAACACCCGCCCCAGCCTCCAGCTGTACACGCTCACCTACTCACAGTCCACCTTCTCTTGCACCAAGTCTGCTGAAGATTTCTCACCATCCTCTCATTATATTCAGATTCTTGCTTTGAGACTTCCAAATTTTGCAGTCACCTTCAAACAATTGCCAATTCTTATTTTTTTTCCCTTTAGAAAAAAACTTTCTCTCTTCTTCACGTTTTTCTGTGGCTCGGGCTTTGATCTCCTAGAAAACGGCTTCCGGCCGGGAAAGTCCATCAGCCGTAGGCGAGAACACTGTCTGCACTCTTTCCAGGCCTCACTTCAGCCCCGGCCTCTGGGTGCGCTGCTTGCGGACCCACTGCTTCCTCACTGAAGCGATGCCTTTCCTGAGCGCTGTGGAGGGGCCGGGCTCGGCCACCCACCAGCTGTGGACCTCTGTAAGTCACTCTTAGCCTCTGGAGCCCGTCTGCAAAACATGGTAATAAAACAGTGCCTATCTCACAGTGCTGCTGCAGGGTTTAGCTAGAACACTCATGTGAGTGCTTCACACACTCCTGGTGTGTAGTGTGTTGTGAGTGTCAGCTATGTTAATGCTTAGACGTCACAAAACGTTAGCCAGGTCATGAGCTCGTACTGTCTCACAAGAAAATAATTACTTCAGAATGGCAGATAGGACATTATTGAGTTAAAACGTCTTTTTGAATCTTGCTTTTACTATAACCATACAGTAACATGCACTAAGGCTGTCACAGCAGCATGACTCGTCAACTGTTAACACATTCTGGGGTCAAAAGTCCTGCGCTGTGAACGTGCATCACCCCACCCACTCCTTTGGTGCCCTGCGGTGGGGTATTTGACACATGACGTAACTATTATTGCTGTTTGTTTTTCTTTTCGTTATTAAAGGTTTTTTTTTGTTGTTTTTTTTCCGGTACTGGGAATCAAACTCACGACCTTGCACTTGCCAGGCAGGCGCTGTGCTTCTGAGCTAAATCCCCAGCCTCCTTTTTAAAGTTTTTATCTGAGACAGGGCTTTGCTAAGTTGCCCAGGCTGGGGTTGAACTTGTGACCTAGTTGGGTTTTTTTTTTTTTTAAACACAATTTTGTTTTTTACAGGCCAATAATACACTGCACTTCTGACATCCTTTTAGTGATAAGCTTAGTGACTAATGCATGTCTAAAATTATGCAACTTGCCATCTGTACTGCTTCGTAAGGACTGTCTCTACGTCCACTGTTTTAGGCCCAAGTATTTTCTGGATTAACTTCTCCACGTCTCTGAAACATCTTTGTGTTGTTAAGTGGCGCTGGCTCTTCTCGGCTGGGTCGGGGGCAGGTAGGAGGCACAGACGCCTCCCAGCACTGGCTTCCGCTCCTAGCGTTTAACATCTACGTTCCACTTTAACTATGTGTAAAGGCTGGTTTACTTTTTTACTGAAAACCACCCACCCTCCCGTCTGCTTCTGCTCTTCTGCATCGACAGTCACTAATGCTGGTTACCCTCGCTTCCCGCTCACGGACGGGCTGGTCGTCACCTTTTCCGCATTACTCCGGATTCACCTTCTTGGAGGGGGCAGGCCGGTCTGTTTCTAAATGGGCTTTCGTGAGCTTTATGAAGATTAATTTGATGTTTTTCTCAATATTCACTGTATTAAATTCCTAGCAAAACACTGTAACTTGTGCCTGGCAGAACGTGTTCGCCATGACGTCCTGAAGCTGCTTTTGCTCACGACGACTCTCTTGGTATTCAGACACTTCTCGTCGCGTGTCACATCACCTCCTCAGAGCGGAGTGCACAAAGTCCAGACCATCCAGAAAAACTCCCAGAAGTCCTTCTCTCCTCAGTGCTTGCCAAAAATGGCACCAAAAACAAGTTTCTAAAGACAGTGGGATGCAGGTGACAGAACAGAACACAAACTCTTCCTTGCCTGTAGACTCACCAGCACATCCTGGGAACAGACCGTTTACTAACACCAGGCTTATTTTCGTAGATATTTTTATTTTGATATACTAGGTGCAAAGATAATTTAAATCTCATGCCAAGTGAATGGTAGACATGATTATGTAGCTTTACGTGCCAGAGACAGTAATAACCTGAAAACTGTAAGGCAGAGTTCCATCTGTTGATTCAATGCTCAGACTATGCTGTTAGGTGACTTTTTCTACACAGTAAAGAGCCATGCCTATTCAATGCCACACATTGAAGTATTTCCCCAGGAGCTCAATCTTACTGATTGAGGAATTAGAAAAGATGCACGCACCACTTGCTGGTGGGTCTCAAATGTTTTGAAATTTGGCAGAAAAGGAGCCTCCTAGCATTCAGTCCACTGCTATGGTACCAAAATCGATAAGACAGATTTGTATCAAAATTAAGATTAGTAACAGATTCGTATGTTTTGGGTATATATTCATCATTGCATTCCCTTCAAATAAAACAAGTAAACACACTCTTAACTACTGAACACTTCCTGACAAAAGCACCAGTAATTATGATCCCACAAAAAAAAAAGCAACTTTGTTATAAAAGTCATGCTGCTGCGGGGTGTAGCCTGTAATCCCAGCACTCGGGAGGCTGAGGCAGGAGGATTGTTGCGAGTTCAAGACCAGCCTGGACTACAAAGTGAGCTCAAGGCCAGCCTGAACTGCATAGTGAGACCCTTTCAAAAAAAAAAAAAAAAAAAAAAAAAAAAAAAAAAAGTGACGCTACTGACCCGCTTAAAACAATACAAAGTCTTCATCTGAAATTGGTGATGGTGGGACTGTAAAATGATTCCATTCTATGTATGTCCCTTAGTAGTTTTTTACAATTTCATATGGAGTTCTGTATCTTGACTGTGGTTGTGGTTACATGAAACTACATGAGATGACCAACCGCGCACACACACACACACACACACACACACCCAGGTAAACCCTTGCAAAATGTGAATGGGCTCTGACGCAGTTTTCTTCACATGTTGCTATCGTCAGGGAAGCACGGGTGGGGAACGCATGATAACCCTACACACTGTTTTGGAACGTTCAGTGCATCTACAATTACTTAAAAAAAAAAAAGGTGAAGGCAGAATTTTTGAGTTGTACTGAAGGAGTGTTGTCGCTTAAAGCAGCAGCAAAAAAGTCCACGCCCCAATTGGTGAGACTGCTTCAATCAGACGCTCACGCCACCGGCGTCTAATTATGTAACGTGCCAAGACAACTGTCTAATAAAATGCGTTCTAGGTTCTTCATTCCATGGAATTTTCACTTTGTTGGGGTTTGGCTTTGAAGCCACAAACTCCTGCTTCTCTCTGAACTCTCCTTCTCTCACTTACAACCTCCTCCACAAACCAAATTTCTTCTCTGTACTTTCAAGTCTAACACCGCACCGCGACGCAGCTCTGTGAGGAAACTTCCCAAGCGCAGAGGCCTGCGTGTTCTCAGGCCCAGGCACACGCTCCACTAGCAGGTACTTCGAATGCTGGCTCCGCGAAGACTAACGCCCCTGAGCCTAAGCAGCGACGGCGAACCTCTCGGAGCTCTCTCCACAGGCTTTATCTTGTGCACTTAAAAAGTCTGTCCTTAGCGGTACCCTTCCAGCAGCACTATCTCCCACACCTGTAAAGTTACCCGATTAGGAAAGTGTTTCATAAACCCATTTTTTACCTGAAGATAAACCTCCTTTACATCACCGATCCTCAAACTAGGCTGTACCTTAGAACTATTTGGTGGTTTTTAAAAATTACCGACTCCTGGACCACATCCCTAGATTCTCATTTGCAATGAGATGCTGCCGATCCTTGAGTTTGCAAGGGTCCTTGGGAAAAACAAGTCTTCAGATGTCATACTTTTCTTCCAAACATTCAGAGAAAAAGGAGCGATTATCTATTCAAGTGCTTACAGAATCTCAGCAATTATTTTATCAGCTGATCGATCAATGAAAACAGAACTGCTTGTCCAAAGCAGAAGTAGAAAGGTGAGGTCAATATATATGTGTGTGTATCTTTGTACTACACCCTCACATTCCCTCACGTTCCACCGTCAACGGCCCCACCTCCTGTCCTGACAAGAAACACTGGACACAATGCCTTTCAGGTACTGTGGACGCCCCACCATCTGCCAAAAGGCTCAAGTGAGAAACAGGAAATTCTCAAAGC